ATGTAATTGTCATAATCACAATGAAAATAACATAAATGCTTAAAAGGATCACTGATCAAGTTATCTGATCGGTAGATCACCAACGCTGCTATTTATTCACTACTCCATTATCAACTAGTGTTATGCATTACATTTGATATATCCAATACTTTACACTTAATGTTCCAACATCATTTGTGTCGCGTTTTCAGCGAGGTTCAATCGTCATTCAGAGTTTTGCTTACTGGTAAAGTAGGAGATTTTATCGGGAGTTGATTCAGTAACAATTTTCTAAACGAAGCGCCATACCTTCGAGATCGACTTACGTTAGGACGCGATGAGGCAAAGTATGAAAGGATATCGATATCACTAGTGTTTATTAATCGTAAGTAAACAACAGACGGACGCCAAAAGTGGCGAATGAAGATCAAAGGAAAGCAGCCTTTGAAGGAAACGGAATGCAATGAGGATGTTTGATGAATGACAGCACTCTCAAATACAATGGAGAAGTGGGAGGGAACAAATGAAATGAAAAAAGACGAGGAAAATAGTTGCTATTGGATGGAAAATTGCGAGAAACGAATGAACTCTGTCAACCGATTGCAAGGAAAATGGTGGTTGAAAGAAGAATGTTGAATAACGAGGAGTGATTAGTTGAAACGGAACATTCTTTAACATTTAAATTCACATGAAAAGAACTAAGAAACAACCTGGAACAAACAGACATACACATTTCTTGCAATTCTCTACACAGCTTCGAATCGATTCTCTTTCATCAACCGTTGCCCAGTGGGACAAATAAGGCATACTCAAGTCTGTCATTGATAGAAGACTGCTTTAGCAGTTCATTAAACATGCACACAGAGCAACATTTTAATGCTTAAGTAGCATTTGTTTGAAGTATTGCTCTGTCATTTAGTTTATTGCTAATGGGCTTCATCCAATCCACAGCTGATTTACTATAGTCCGTTCACGGAGTGTGGAACATGTAGAAGTTAAATCGAGACATTTGCAATGCAATAATGTGTTTGTTCACAGTTGTTGTCAAAGAATAGGGCAAGTAACATTGCTTTCGTTCGCATACCTCAGCAGAGTGCTGCCACTTCGCATCGGAGATGACAGGTATTCAAGGACAGCCTGGACAAATAAATTGGTATGTTAGCAAAACAACATAAATGTTGATGAGTTTTTGTTACAGTAAAATGCTTTAAAAACGAATATTATAGTGTTGTTGAAATGTGTAATTCTTCATTTGGAACCGTTCAAAACAATGCGAATTCAGGTTTTGACTAGCGCAAGTGTTAGAGTGAAGATCAATTACACATCCTTAAACACTAACAAATCTCTAATGGCTCCTCGAAGATTGTTGATTTCCAATCCTAAGATTGATGAGTACTTGTGAGGAATGATAACGTTGAAAAAAGAGGGTAATATTCGTGTTACTGATGATAACGGGAAAGCATCTATTCAAAACATTTTCTAATCGCTCATTAAATAAATGGACAAACTGTAAACATTGTACTGTTCGAATTCCCAAAATACCATTTCGATGAAACGGTTCAAATCAAAACACAAAGATGAACACATGGGAAGGGCAACGTATTTGTTTCATATTCAGATAAAATACATGATAATAGCCAAAGCAAAAGCATTCCTCGAAAGCTGAGAAATTCGATCGTAAGATGTTATCTACGAATATGATCTTTCAGGAACGTGAGAAATGGAGATAGAACGAAGGCCGTAAAAGAAGTCAGTGAAGAAGCCGAGGAGAAGGGGATCACATCACAGAAGTGCATCAGTCATTCAATATGAGTGATACGCCAGCGATTGGCACCCCAACCGTTGTATTGAATTCATATTTGGTTTATGAAGTATTTATTGTAAATTAACATTGTTAATCGTAATAGGCCAGTGACTGGCACCCCAACAGTTATAAATTGGTATTAATAGGCCAGTGATTGGCACCGTAACTGTTATAATCAGTTGAACTATATTCACCAGTATTATACATTCAGAAGTATTCTTAATAAATTGTTGTTAATTATTCCTCCTGTGTCCAACCAAGCACACCTAATATGTACTAAACGACCCAGTGAATTCAGCACATAAATATTTGATTAGCAGTTTGTTTATTTTCCAGAGTAGATTTGAGTGGAGAACGGAATTAGACCTATGCACTCCCTTCTCCTTTTCCCGAGCTAAGGACATGATCGTTGGCCCAAGGTACCTCGTGAATGTTCGAGGACCCCTGACTCAACCCTACTTCAGCACCCCCCCCCCTTCACTAACATAAAAACGCTTCTTCACTAAATTGGCCGACGCGATAATGTCTCATCACCTATAAAGCTGTTAATAAGCAATGGAAAGCAGAAGACGAGATAATCTGTTGTACAATAGAATTCAAATATTGACTGCTTGCAAGGTGATTCCATGAATGAGCGATAAATTTGTGACGATTCAGTTAATAATAGTTTGATTAAATCATAAAACATCACAAAACAGCGAATCTATCAACAATTTGCGTATAAATATTTCTCGATACTTGTTGCAAACTTGGTAGAAAGTCGGGGACGAAATTTCACAGTCGGGGAGCCCAAAAATGTGGCCAACTGGAAAGAAGTCGTGGACGGAGACGACTCGAGGAAGGGGCCCCGAAATTTCTTGATCCCCGCAGTACACCATTGCAAACTGTTTTTTTTTAATTTTTAAACGCTCCCAATAAAACAGAACTGCTGAATTTCTATTGGTGAAGAAAACTTTCTTCTCTTCATCGATGTATCTTTTTCGTGGACAGAACGACAAACTCAAAAAGAGCGATAAAAAGAGGACATAATTAATTTCTTCAACATAGATATATGCTCAGCTTTGCCCAGTAACCGCTGATTTTTACGTATCATCGGATAGGCGAGATTCAATTCTACACAAAACTTAAAGGAGTTGACCACATTCAGTAATTCACTTTGATTGAAATGGTATGGATACGACGATGATTTTTTTAAAATGTGCTAAATCATATAGACCTAAGGCAATCCATTCTATGGTAAACAAAACAAATGAGCAAGTACGTATGTGTATCTCAACAGAAAGTGTTTCGCGTTACTTTCCGACGTAACTGAATTTCTCAACGAAAATCATATAGCTTTGTGATTGCATCGTCAGCTTACTTACATTTTATCTTGTTTGTCGTGAATTCATGATATGAATTTGTTCACATGAAACATCAATTAAACCATGAAATAATCTTTATTCAAATTTAACAATAAATTCTATTAAGAAAAGCTTTTCTGACTATTCTTTATCAAATTTTCAAGATTCTCTCGTGCACTTTTTAAGTTTGGTTGCAATTTCAGTGATATTCGATAGGCGTTGATTGCATCCCGAATTCGATTCCAACGTTGATACAGAATCGCTGAAAACAAATCAGAAATTCAATTTACAATCAATCACATAGATCGTAAAATCACATCTAAAAGTACTACTGAACATTGATGAAAGAAAAGAGCGCTCGTGCAAGACGCATATAATCTAAGTTTCATAGGCATTCATCTGAGTAACGGTTCGTTCAACGTGTTAAAAGAATGTGTCATTGGTTTCATCAAGCTGCAGAACCAAATATGTAGGATGAAGAGTGCATAGTCATACATCCACTGTCTGGAATGTTCATTTCATCTGCAGGAAAAATAACTGAGCTGATATTATTCCGCAATCTCTATTTGTTCTTAAGATGAATATGAATGAACATCTAATCACGGTTCAAAAATTCACCTAAATTAGTCCAATAAAGCGCGTTATCTGCGTGCAATACGATCGCTTTACGAAGATGTTCTTCAGCTTCCTCGAAGAGTTTCATCTTTCCGAAACAGGTGCCGATTTGGAAGTGAATAGCAGAGTTGTTCTTCAGGTGTTTAAGGGCGTCATCACCTAACTCGATCACTTCCTCGCAATCACCAACTTCATCAAGTAAAACCAATAGATTCACCCAAGCTCGTTCATGATTCGGTTGGATTCTTCAATCAGTTAATGAATTAACAAACTTTACACTTCATACTCTCCAATGATTCAATAATTTCATAAGTATAATAAAAATATTATTAGGAGTTCGTTATGGTTACGGTGAAAGAGCGTAATCATTATGGGATCGAGATGGGAAAAACTTAAATCTGAAAGACAGACGAAATTCGCAAGTCTGGCAAAAGAATTTCAACCCATCTAAATCTAGCAAATCAAATGCGAATTCATAAATTCTTCCTGAACCCTATTGCTGAGTGCAGTATGTTATCAGTAACTGTATGCACTTGTTGTTGCTGGCATGTGAATGAATTCACTTCAGAAATATTCTTCACTCTTAATTGCCTAATTGATTGTTGTCAAGCAATTACACGAACCTCGTCACGTTACGCCAAATTGATTCCGCCGAATGCTTCTCATTTTGTTGCAAATACAAATTACCCATATTGTACAAACAATCCGCATAGTTCGGTCGAATACTAAGTGACACTCGAAAACTTTCTTCAGACTCCTCAAATTAAAATTCATGTATAAACAGAAATAACAGTGATTGAAATTGACAAGTAAAACACAAATGGTCAGCCATATTGCAACATCTGTCGATGTTGGATTCCCTCCTATCATAGGAGCATCGTAATCGTAGGCTTATCGATGCTTATCCTACCGACTTCATATCATCGAACCAGAATGACTCAAACCTTTCAATTCGAGAGCATAACCATTCTAACTGACCTTATATTTCCGCTGACCCAGTAAAGCGAGTCCAAGATTCATCCATGCAGCTGCAAAACTGGGACGTATTTCAACGCATTTCCGGAGCAGTTTTTCGGCCTCTTCATAGCGTCTCCGAAGCAGATAAATATTTGCCAAATTATTCATCGCATGATCGTATGATGGATTAAGTCTGAAATCTCTTCTAACCCTTCAAAACGGTACTTACCGCTATTCAAACAATCGTGATCAAACAATAATCTCACGATGTTTTCAATGTAAATTACACTTATACACATCAAAAATATCCATGTGACTTGCCGTATCGCACTCTTGTAACTGTTTTCAGCTGTCAACGGATCACCACTGTCAGCTAGAACTTTACCGAGATTGTAATGAATTTTAGCATTACTTGGACACACATCCAAACCGCTCCGGTACAATTCAAGCTCGGTTTTCCACTCAGCGCAACGCTAAAAATGATCAGCGATTACAATGAATACTCATTGTNTCAAACATCTTGCTAAATGTGAGTGAGAAAGGAAGATTGCCGACAAGTGATTCAGAAACATAGATGGTCAAATGTAACGAGCAAATTACCAAACCTTCATTGATTTCGTCGCGGCGAGCAATAGCAATATGAATGCCACAAATCGGAATCTTTCATTGTGCATATAGAAGAAACAGTGATTTTGAAGTTTCTCGAAAGCGACCGCCATCAAAATGCAGAAGCCAAGCGATGGCAAGTAGAGAACACGTTCAGCGATAACGAAACCGACCGTGACGAACAGATTACTCGCTGGTAAAAATGTCAGCAATCCTATCGCCAACCCGAAACATATCAATCTGAATCATGAAACTCACTCAATTATTCTCAAAAGTTTCACTGAAGATTACGAACCACCAGTGAAACAAATCGAAAGTAACGCCAATACCATAATAAATGCTATTTAGTGATTATGTAGCGTCAAATCAGTTATCGACGTTTTTTTAGTATAGTCATCAGTTGATGATACTGATAGCGTATGAGCTTCAATGAGTTTTTGGCTATGCAAAAGATATTTTTTGCTTGAACAGCTGATTGGCTAAACTGGAAAATTTACCGATTAAATTCAAATGCGTGAGATGTGCTGCATTTATAGATTGCAAACGCAAGAATCGCGACGAATAAGATAGTGATATAGAATCGATAATCACATAATGATTCAATAACGCTGATGCAACCCATTGAGTAGTCGAAACATAACTTCGATGGATAAACCAACAGCCACAGATTCAGAAGAATTAAATACCAGTAGTTGACGATCTAAAATCACACATTCTCACACATCCGTGTAAACACTTCGAGACTGATTGTGAATGCTGAACTGAGAGATCGTTTATGTGAGGTATTGCGTGAGGCAAGGTAATACACTCATGTTTAACTTATCGAATATGCATGCTCTCCGTTAGCGTAACGATGATCACTGAATGTGCTTCAAATGAGCAGCATTATGAACGTTGAATGAAAAGTGTTAATTGCGTTTGGTTATGATATAGCCAATGAATTATAGGAAGGGCTTAGTATTTTTCGGGATCAGAGTGCATTGATCAGTCGAAAAAGCGCAGTGCTGACGAAATTTTTTTTACAACCGTTGTTCGGCTCATTTATCATCGTATTATTGTAACCGAAAGTGATGAAAGTTAAGGAAACGTTTACCCTGTAAAATAATGATGGATGAAATGCAATCGGATTATCGAATGCAGAAAAATTCGGAGATTTGAAGGCATTTATATGCAATCGTATAAGAAGCATTAGTGCAGTCGCAACAGCACATTGCGTTGCGCGAGCCAACGATGACAAATATCTGTTCTGAAATGTGATCCATTGTAATTATCATTTGATATTCTCTCATTTCATCAGTTTAAATTTCAAGTGACCTCATTCACAGGCATTTTCAAATCATTTATTTGTACATCCATACATCCCTTTATTTTGGTATCATGAAGCTAATTCAAATCTGCTAAGCGAAAGCCACACAAAAACCTTTCATATGATTACATCAAAAAGATTTCATTCCAAACACAACCCTCCTAAGAAGACATCTCATATCAATCGTTCAAAAGTGTTTAAGATGTGCAGGTATAGATTGTTTAAAAATTTCAAGGATTCCTCATTAATCGATCGGAAAATTCTACTGAACAGGTAACATTTTGACAAGAAATTCGCAATGAGATAATGAGCATACCAATCGTGCCGTATTATCGTCATCAGATCTGTTGTTGTTGTGCTTGTCTAGATGTCTCTGCTTCAGTGCATCACAAAAACGATATGGTGAAAACCCGTTCGATAAAAGATCAATTATGGCACATACAGGCTGAAAATTTGAATATGTTTTCTTCATATCGACTCGAAAAAACGTCTCCAAAAGGAACGAATGTTTAATCATTTGCCTTATAAAGCGTAATGAAAATTAAATAACCAGTGTTAAATAAGAAGTTTCTTACCAATGTTGCAATTCCTTGTTCCTTGCTCAACAGTGCCATAAAGGCGAACAATATCAAAAAACTCTTATCCAACGATGTGAAATAGTTTCTCTTTATACATCCTATATACAATTTGATAACCATCAACATGAATGTCGCCATTAGCAATTCAGCTCGACCAACTATATTTGCAACCTATAAATAAGGAATAACTGTGATCTTGATCAGCATCTTGATCAGCAGTCTCAACCAATTGAACTGCTACAAATCCGAATCAAAATGGCCGTGTCTGCTCAGTGAATTTCAACAGTAACAGTCGTTTGGTCTATTCCGGTTCCGTTTTCAACTGTACTCGTAAAACGCTCCCAGCTCTGCTTAATATGTAAAACTTGCGTAATGAAAGAATCGCAATTAAATCAAATGTGAATGGCAACTCTTATGCAGAAATGGCAATCCGTACCGCTTCTGAATGAACCGGATGGACAGCAAAAATGAGTGCTGCATAGAAAGCAACAGCAGTAGGTCGTTTGCACTCGAAGTCGATCGTTGCAAAATCGCGCAATACGTAATAAACGAGCACAGTTACGGCACAATGAAGCATCACATTGACTGAGTGATATGTGATCGTATGCGAACCAGACAACATCCAGTTCAATCTGAAATTCATTTATGAAATGTAATATGTATGAATCTGTATTATCTTTGAAATCAAATCAAATACATTGATTGAATCTTGCTGAATGTGACAGGTTGGAATAGGAGAAACACATAACTCAAACACATAGCTTATGTGGACACAAACATTTGTTTCTCGTCATGAATTGATTCATTTAGTACTTCGAGCAGTCATCATAAAGGCTATCAAATAATTACTGATGTGTTGCGTTTCTTATTGGCTCGCCAACTACGGCTCGAACAAGTTAAATGCAAGCTATTTTTCAGAGAAAAAATGCGCTCAACAAATTGTTGACTGCAGTTGCAGACGATATTAGTGATAGGAAATGCAGTCAGGTAACGTTCAGAATATTCATTTGTTCGTAGTTCTCAAATATTTCAATTATGAAATGCGTCATGCAATATTCAATACATATTGACAAGTGCTTGCTTTGTTCGATTCATTTTCATCATTTTTATAGCTCCTAAGGGGACCTCTCATCAGATCCCTGTTAAGCGTGTTCACTTCAGAAATGACATCGATCAGATGTGTTGAAATTAGATGATTGTCGCAATTGGTGGCGATGATGAGATGAGAATTTCAATAAGCCATTCGCAAATAGACGTAATCCAATAAAATAAACAATTATTGCGCATCTCGTTTGATTGTTTGCTTGAAATGTGCGATATTACTAAATATTTGCGCATATTAAAGTCATCGAATGCGACTTTGTGAATTCGATTTGTGATGCTTTCACATGTATGTATCGTGTTCGAAATGGATTCATTGCTTACATCCAGCATTCGAATGTCATCTCAAGTTCAAATAACATCTCAACGCGTCACATAAATGAATTACAGCTGTACATAATTTGATTGGAGCAGAACGCTATTTTCGAGTTACTTTCGACGATTCCAATATCGGGTTCCTCTCGGGAAATTCAGGACATGTGGATACAATTTATCG